TGCTCCCCTTTGGCACTCCTGGCATGGTTGCACCTTGTGGAACGAACAGCCAGCCAGTGTAGCCCGCGGGATCATTGCAGTACTGAAACCCGACCAACACGTCAAGGTGGCAGCTTTAGGTCGGGGCAAAGCTGAGATCAGTGCAGCTTTAGGTCGGGGCAAAGCCCTATGAGATCAGTTCGATGGCCCGAAAGGACAAGATCTCACGGTCAAATGAAATCTGTCGAGGCCTATTGACAAACTGACAAATGGTGTGTGATTACTTTCTCTCGGTACTGATAGATCATTTATTCGTCAACTAACCTATCCGAATCCCACCATACTCAGCTTATTTGTCCAGGTCACGACAGAAGCTCCGAATGGGTTTTGGCGCTCCGTGTGTGCGAGTTCTTGGCATACGGTTTGTAACTTTGCATGACGTCCGGAGACTAAATTGTTGAGACCAAAAAAACATACAAAAAAGAAACTGGATGGAGGCCAATTAAATGGTAAGACGGCACTTTGGGCCATTGCGCAGTGAAAAGAGCACCAAAGGCTACAAATCTGTATGGGAGCTAATGAAAAAAACTTTGATAAAAAAGTAAGTTTGCTGATACAACTTTAGACAGCTGTCGGAACTTCTTTAATGAAGTTACAACATGCTCCAAAATTCACACTGAACACAAAACTGATTAAAATCCCCTGTGAAACGCGATGTTACTTGAAGAAGTGCTTCCGAGGTTCGGCAGTTGTACAGTAGCGTTTCTCCAAAAATTCTGGGAGAAAAATGACCTGTTGATCCAGAGAGGAAATAATTCATGAAAGACAGTGTTTATGAATGAAAGCGGAAAAAATCGTGGCGAAGGCAGTCAGGGAACCAATCCGTGAGATTCCTTATGAATGGTGACTTGATCAGTGTTGGGTGTTCAGTCTGATGTTCCGGTTTGTTGGTTGGTGGGGATGACTGCCTTAAAACCCAATCAACCTACGTACTTACTCACTTGGCCTGACGAAGCTTTTGTGTCAAGAGCGAAACGTTGCCCAGCAATAAATCCACCGATTGTTCACCAAACCTCTCTGAAACGATGACTTCCCAATCGGTCCCAATTGATTAAAGAAAAGGTGCTTTAACTGACTCTCTTTTGAAAGTGACCTGAATCTAACGGGCCTCTGTCCGTCTGCTCGACGTCCTACCTTTTCGGTCCAAGCACAATAGCTCCGAAGTATCCATCAACCCGTCGAACGTAACCGAAGCCTTGATTGTTGTCTCCATTTGCAGTCTTAGTGATTGAAGTTGAACCTCCAACTACTTGATGACGACGTTGTGGGACACCAGCCGTTGAAGTGGTCATGGTAACTCTACTATTATAAAATGCAGTAAACCAACTGCAGGTATAGGAAATCGGTTTGCATTTAAATTTGAAAATTTGGACATTTACTCCATCATTTATTCCTGTAGCGGACAAAAGTTACACTTGGGACCAAGGATCTCTGAGAGGTGATTCTGTCACATATATCAACTGAACTTTTTAACTCGATTTACTGCCGTGCCGTTAAAACGAAACCTAACATACAGGTACTAAATCTTTAAGGCGTTGACCAGAAAACCGCGATCTGTAAAACAGAGCCCAAACCGGTATTTTGCGATTCTTCAAGCAAGCTTAGGGACCACTGGTCAATAAATATTGTTCGTATTACATATAAGACTGAAGTCGCTGGTGAGCTGATGACTGTGCATATTACAGGACACGGGTACCGAAAACCCTTGAGTAGAATGTGTTGGAAAATAAAAGACACGCGGACCTTATCGACTTGATTCAGAATCAACTGATTGAAGCATGTGAACAAGACGCTTCGGTACGTCTCGAGGTTTGAGATGTAAAAGTCCAAGTTGTACGGGGCGAGTGATTAGCACACGAACCTCATTGAACAAGTTGAGTGCATTGAGTGACATCCCCATGCGCACATGTTGCTCAGTTTTATATGCCTACCAACGGTGGGCAGTACATGTGCGTCTTTTGACCACTAATGTGTATAGACTACACACAGCGAAACAAGTTCGAAGTCCAACTAGAACACCAAACAACTGTTTGAATCTGTCAGAAATGCTGGATCAATATTTAAAACCTTACCATGTGACGAGAAAAAATGTCTGCTTACGTGACAACCCATCCTACTCAAAAGAGATCACCGCAGAACGCCAAACGATCGACCCTTAAACCACTGCTGATTCGGAAGACTACTGGCAAAATCGTTCGACAACGAAACAAGATCGACATGTATTATTGAAGAGACTTTCGAGAAATATATTTGTAGAGTTTGTAGAGTTTGAGAGAAACGAATCGTTTAATTTTACCCTTGGTTCCCTTTTCCAATAGCTTATCATAGTCAACTACAAAAAGAGAACAGAAAGGAAATGCGTTTGCACCAAGATATCTTGCGCTCAACTGTTTGTTTCTTCGCTTAGAAAAACATCTTCCGCACCTACACCATGGCTTCACTTGTTCTATTTCTTATTTTTTAACCCACTTTGCTGACCTTAATTTATCCTCATGACAGCAACACATTTCGCGTGCTCTTTCCCAGACCGTTCGACTCAAACTCGAATTTGTTTTCGAATCAACGCAGTAGACTTCTAATTTACGAATCTGAACACAACCTACGGACTATTATTTTGGGGAAATTCTGGTATTCTGGTATGGGGTTCTAGAAAGCTCCAGGTCAAATATTGCTGATGTTTATAGACACTCGATCGTCCTGGAGAGCGAATCGGTTTGTCAGGTCAACGAAACATGTTACTACAGGGAATCACATAATGATATGCAGAGGAGGCTAAAAGTCGGCAAAATTAACATTGAATCATTAAAAAATTGCTCTGCTAGCCACGTGTCTCTTTGAATGGTAATTTGATCATGTTAAGTCACGCCGTTCAGCCATTTTAAATCACCCCGGTGGGAGACACAGGATGGTTCTTTGATATTGTACAATGGACTCATTGCTAAGCCCTTGGAAAGATTAATACGAAGGGGAGGAAACCATATGATTTCTCTCGAAATACAATCATTTGCACAATAATTTATTTTTGAGGCAAGACTCAACTATATCATTGGCGAACCTCTCGTGTACGAAGTCCCTCTTCAGTCGAATATACTGCAAAAATGCCACCACATATTTCAGCTGGCATGATTTCCGAAAACTCACACCCTTTTTCCTTGATGAAAATCAGTTGATATGAGATTGCTGAAGACTCCTCGGTTTTGTCCGGGCTTATCAGGTGCAGTTCCCTTATGTTCTATTTGAACCCAAATTAGACGCGACAGGCGTGATCTAAAATGGACGTTGAAGGTTCTCAGATTTACACGAAGGCTGGCCTAGTCTCAGTATTTGTGTTATCCCACGTTTTAAACTTCGTCATTAGTTGACTGAAGACGAGTGGATTTTGCACGCCGTTCATCTCAAGTGACCGAATCAACAGAGCTCGTTTTGCATTGATTAGGTAATCTTTCGATGAAGTTCCACGAACCCACAGCTGGGTATTCCACCCAGTGAGAAAGGTCTCGATGAGGGTGACAAACGCGTTTGGACAGCTAAGCTTTCATAGGAGGGTGCATGGTGCTTCTCTTATGAGTGAGTTGAAAACTTTGAAGTCAAAAAATGATCAATAGAGTGGTTGATTGCTTTCAGGAAATTTCTCTTTGACTTGTCCTGCGTCAAGAATTAAATCAATCCTACTTGGACCTCCTAGAACTTCACATCACCCTTTAGGAACGTCTTTCTTTAGAACGCCCACGGCTAATCGATTGAGCAGGATACGAGCTGTATACTTGCCTGTTGTATATAGGTGACTGATTCAGTGGTAGTTTTTCGTCCTCTACCGATTTCTTTTCCATTTACACAGGCGAACCCTCGTTGTAGCTTTTAACTCTTGCAAAAGGTCCTTTTCTACCAAATTCTGCCTGTCGGGCTGAGAAGTTTGCTTCATACTATCGGTCCTCCTCGTTTGAACAGTCCCGCGTGCAAGCCGTCCAGATCCGCTGCTACCCACTTTGCAATTGGCTTATGGCCATCAGCAGTTGTGTAGGCAAGGTGGTTAATTAGGTCTTTCTTTTATGTCTAAGCAGGTGGAGTATGTAGCACGGATCTGGCCGGTTGAGTACTGCTGAAAGGGTACAATCTCAAGCTGACAGAAGTTTTTTTTGAGTTAATTAGGTTTTCCACCGGATTGTCTGTCTTTTGTCAGCTGAAGCTATTGGATCCCGTTTGTATGTCGGATAGTGGAGTGTTTCGTCGAGCGCAAAATTTTTTAGTCAAGATGAATATCCATGGGTCATTCTCTTCAAACCAACATCTTTTCCGTTGTTGCCTGGAAATATGTTTTTATTCTGTCTCACTGGTCATTCTTTAGCTCTTTGAGGGGCTTCGTGAAAATTCAATGCAGCCTTTGGTTCCTCAAATTCCTTAGACCAAGTTTGAATGAATTTCCTTCTGACCCACGACGTGGCAGTTTTCCAAGTGCCACGTGTACTTTAGCACGCGGATCACCATGGCGTTCAGCTCCAGGCATCACTTTTGTAATCCGTACCTTATCCGTACATCCGTACGTCACAAAATTCCACAATCGATTAGGTGTCCACTTTCTGGATGAGCCCGTGTGGCAGGCGATAAACGTTCCACACTAAACCACGTATTTTTTTACTGCGATATCGAATGCTGTATACGTTGTTGGTAATTTTCCGTCGTTACCGTTTATTGATCCGATTCGAAATCGACTCACTATCATCTTCCAAGTTTCGCGGTGCTTGTCAAACCGAGGACGAAAATCGCCCAGCAAGAAGAGAAAGTTGGTTAGAGATGTAGAGCTGAAGGGGGTCCGGTAGTTGGTCCTAAAATTTATTTTCTTTCTCATCGGGGTGCAACACTGTAGGGAGAAGGACGCTGATAGTCGGAATCGGATGGCCACCACTTTAAGCTTGGTGCAGTTCGGTTGATCCATTGTTCTCTTATTAACGTGATCTGCAACCACAAACCCGATACCGCGTTTACTTTGTCTTTTCTTATTATTCTACTCCAATAGTGTCACAAAAGCCAGTCCCCCTGAGAACATCTAAATGACGTCGGATACAGTGAAATGTGCTTTCGGAAGCTTTTGACCGAAGAGTTTCACTGTCCCATAACCTCACAGGCAGACATCAGGTGAACTCAGTTGAATGCCCACTGATGGTTTACAATTGTGTTGTTTTGCACATGTGACAAACATGCTTTAATGGATGAAAGTTGGCACATTGCCCTAGGTTACTGGGCAGTAACACGAGAACCATAGTAAGCGAAGGTATTCCGGACATACTGCGAATTCCTTGACCGCAAACTCTGCACTTCTAAAGATATATGATTACTCAACCAAGAAGCTTGAACCTCAAAACACTGCCAGGCGACCAGTTTTCATAGAATCCTGAGAGAACATACAGGATATTGAATCAGTTTGCTTGTTCATGGAATCCTATTACATCCCTCCATAAGCCCTCTTCATTCTTCGATAGATATTTCAGCTGCTCCTTTTGTAGGCTAGGTGGATTAAAAAATGACGATGAACATGCCTGCTTAAACAAAAGCTTCTAAGAAAGCAAAAAAATGAAGTTTTTGTGCTCGGAAGGTCAATTAAGTTGCTTGTATAAATGTGCAGGAGTTAGATGCCACCCAAATACCGACTTCCTTGGAAGTTCATATCAAAGTGTATTGTCGGTCGACATACATAGTTCTTCTTGCATACTTTTCTTGGAATCTTTTGACTTGATGTTTTGACGGTTAGCGCGAAAATCACAAGATCAAAATATCTTGCCAAAAATTTATGAATTCTCTTTAGTTCAATAGGCTGACTTGCCAGTTGGAAGATGGAAGCGCTTAATTTGAAAAAAAAACCTGTCCGCCGGCTCACACTATAACTGTTGAGCAAAGAAGATTCAAGAAAATTTAAAATTCATCACAGAACCTCAGTCGATTGGGCGCTGTCGATCGTAACTAATCGAGAAGATACCTAAATAAAACACATGAACACTGTTCACAGCATAAATAACAGTGAAACGGTGGAAAGAAGCCAGTCAGGTGTGAAAATAATCGTGACTAGTTTTAAATCAGTAGAACAGCTCCTAAGGTCAACCGGCACGGACTGATCACCGCTGCCGTACTGAATGCTTGGTTATTGTTCTGATATTGTGAACAGGAATTCTGAACGTCCTTCACAGGTTAAGTCCGTGACCTACCGTTAGAATGCACTCTGCAATAGACGAGATAGATGAGGTTCGGGTTTCCGTTATTCATCTGTCATACAACTCGAAAGGCAAGGCAGATGTTATGAGTTGTTTTCGCCTCAGTTTGTCGAGTGAATCCTACCGCAACTACACCGGTATACAACATACAAGACGACCACGTCAGGTGTAACAGTAGTTTCGCTTCAGAGGTGAATTGCCCTCGTTGCCGGGGCCAGCATCAGCTAGACGGGTGGATATATATGTGACAGACTAACTCTCGTGGTTTGTGACTTGTAGTGGCAGCTGAACAATCCTCTCTAAACTGCACATTGCTTAAAACTTCGGTTTTCTCGTTGAATGAGTAAATTCACGTTAAGAATGAACTCACCGTGGGCAGTAATAGTCTTCTCAGAATAACCAGCTAATGCTGCAGTCGTATGGAAGATTTTTTCTTCGTAAGGTGCAAAGGATATTGGTGCGGATAAACAGGCTACGCATAAGGCCATTGCAAAAAACTGTACAACTGTCATTCCCGCTCTGTTTACTTGAGTTTGGGTATACTGAGCGTTTGAAAGTACTGTTTGAGACTCCTGAAACAGAATTATATAAAAAACCTGAATTCTCCACTCTCCAACTTAAGTGATACTAAAATATCCGAGCACAAATTATTCACAGGATTTTAAAGGCTGAAAAACATCGTCATAAAATATCGAGCGGATATAACACGACTATCATCCGTAGCGTCACTCTGCTTTTGTTCGAGGAGACAACTCTGAACTTTGCACAACCAAGTGTGATCCGCGAGGCGACAGAAAGGTCATCGAGAATGAGGGAGGAGAACTATCATCATGGGTTTTGCATTCCAGAATTGATTGTTTTTGACTAGATAGCTGGAATCGATTCATCTTCTTGCCATTGCCGGTTAAGAATTGAGACATGACCAACTCCCCTAGGGTAATATTCATTGAAACGTGGGCCAGATTATATCACTCATTACTTAGTCTCACGCCCTCATGCCATTAGAACCAACGCCACCAGAGAATTTCATAGAATTAAAAATAAAGCAGAAATTCACTCGTTTCCTAAGAGACCTACCTCAGAATATACTGAGGATTCTGGAATTTGATGTCAGAAGACAACACAAGGCAAATTTTCTCCTTATACTTCCCGGTTGGCCTAACGCATAAGAGGTGAAATAGAATGAATCAATGTATTTCTATATTTTGATCCTACCATCAATTAACGGAGAAGCTCAAGGGAGGACTGATCGCATCAAAACATCAAGATACGTCTCTATACAAATTACGACGACCCTACAGAGGGGAAGCAAAGTTAGCTTCCATGCAAAGCTTCGCGCATTCCAAACAGAAATCTGTTCATTCGCAACATGCAGCCGTGAAACTTGGTCGCTTTGATTTTTAAGACATCAACACGCTCAAGGATTTGACCATTTCTGTTAATGGTGCGTCCTGAGGATTCAGCGACTCGGGAAAATATTCACCGTGGTTAGGAAATGCTACTTCGGCACCCCACGTCTCAGGCAACTGGTACAACAGTGGCAAACTTAATGGTTCACAAATTCGCCCGAAAACCCGAAGGCAAGCTTTACAGAGCTCTTTCTTTACAACTGGCGTGACGCTGTCCTCCCGAAAAGCTGCCGAGGAAATGAACTGGTGTAGTTACTTTAGGTCAGAATGATTTTGTCTCAACCTAGCATACGAAATTCGTTGCGGAATCGGCGCTGGATACCGACTTGTGTGGAGCTTGCCGCTGACCGCCGTTCGTGGATGGCAGCCGCAGGTGGAGCCAATTCATCCTGCCAAAGAATACAGTGGTTGCAAAGTACAAAATACTTGCGGCTTGCATTGAAAATGTCATCGGAAAGCCGTCAGTTGATCATCTGCTAGCAAAGATTTTGGTTGGTTGCTCACTACCCTGCTGTCGCTTTGGTTATGCCTCCCACCTTCAAATTCAAGGGGAACATTTTCAAAACAGGTGAATACCACTCAATTTATAAATCCTTAAAGTTCACATGTTAAGTTAAAGTTTGCTGTGATAAAAATATACTCTGATTGAACCTACATTCGTGAGTATAGAGGTAACATCCATAGAGCAGACTTCCTGTGAACTTGTTTGTAACCGGTCCAAAATACATGCGAGTCAATGATACTGCTTTATTCGACAATATAAAAGAGCTTCGCAGTTGGTTTTGAACTATTAAACGACCATCCGGTGGACAGAATGGATCCCTGACCAACTCCTTTTCTGTTTGCCTTAGTTCTTCACGAGGTTTTACTTGCAAAGGGTGTGGATTTCCCAGTGGATCTTGGACCAAGTAACGGTGGGTGATAACGCTCTTCTACAACCAGTTTTTTGTTTTGATTAGTCAACACTTGGGATAACGTCTTCTGGAAGCCTCGTTCAATCTGAGGGTATTGTCTGGGGGTAAGTAAAAACTCGTCCATCTCTCACATTTATCTTACTACTTAGTACCTTTGAAATGTGTGGAAATGTTTGCGAAAATTAAAAAAACTCATGCAGTGCATCTACGGTTTTTCCAGACCGAAAGCGTCACTAGGTGATTTAACGTTAAAAACATCAACTAAGGTGCAAAAGTTATCTGACTAGGGTTGTGTCCGAATGCTCTTAATGTGTTTGAAAAGTACCCCGAAGTTTTGTCTCGCGAACAAAACTTTCATTTTTCGTGTTACTGAGGGAGAGATATGGTTCGTGACAGCAGATACACACTGGTACGTGTATGTGTGTTTTAACAGAAACATTTAGGAAGACACCGACAGGGCTTTTTTCATTTTCCGAGAAGTATAGTTTATTCCTATAAGTAACTTCGCGAAGACAGTTTCTGAACATTCAGGTAAAGGAAGGCGGAGAATGACGAAGTAAACAGCAAAAGTGCTGCTTTGTTTGGATATATTTACGCAATGTTATCTCAAAAACTTCGAATCAAGAGGTGGTGAGCCGCACAAAGTTTACCTGTCTGAAGAATGGGATAAAAGGCTTGCGGACTTGATCAGGTGCTATGTAAGAGTTAGAAACTCAGCGATCGATACAACTCTGTCGTAACAACGATCCTTTTGGAAAATCTGAAACCATTGTCTCTTTCGATCAATCTAAATTGGCATTTTAAGAATGCGGGTTTTGATGTAAATCTTCGGTTTTACCTCCCCAACCGCACTACTGAGAGCAGTCTGTTTGCGACACATTTAGGGACAAAACATTGAAACTCGAAAATCCTGCTCATCGATCGCAAAACACGGATCATGGGTTTGACCCTAGAACCTTATCCCACAGTGTCAGTCCGAAATGGTTGACATTCAGTGAGGTGATGTTGAACAGTTAATACCGACCAAGTAGATATGCAAAGAAGACCCAGACATAAGTAATCAACTTGCTTTTGTGCTTTAAATAATGTGACGAGCAGTTGACAGTTGAGGAAGAAGCGCTGACTAGTCATCTCCTTCAAGATGACTTGATTCTAATTTCACGAATCCTGCGAAGAGAGAGGTAAGTACGTTGCTTCGGTGGGCCATATCGGTAAAATCTCATTTTGAGGGAAACAGGATGGATTATTATGTCTACATCAAAATTGTACTCGTTCATCCAGGATGTCCCCTGCTATAGAAGTTCATTGGGAGTAAATTATGATTGCTGCTTGGCCAGAAAAAAATGCAGCTTCCGGTTTGCAGTTGTTTTGGACTAGTAGACTGTGCCTCAGGGTTTCGGAGGCACTACACGACCGTAATATTGTGTGAAATTTCCTACCAGAAGGGTGCGCCAGCTAAAGAGGCACCAAAGTTTCTTTTGATTCATCAAGTGGGCATTTGACATATTGATGAGTTGGGGTGACAGTTGTAATTTTTCAAGGATGTCCAAAATCGGTCATTTTGGGCAACCAGCCATCTGTCAGCTGAGTCTGTATAGACAGCGAATCTACAGATAGCGCTTGTGAAACCCTCCATTGACCGGTCAGTACTTGTCTTTTGAGCCAGCTAAACTTCAGCATGCTTGCGCAAATTGACCATGGACCACCTGAACACAACTCGGGACCGCAGATACTTACCATCAGTAAAGATGTACTTCTGCATGGGTGTCGGGCCTTCCACGCGGTCTGTCCAAATCATCCTCAACCTTCCTCTTCATTTACCCACTCCACGGTCCCTCAAGCAGTGTGTTTTTGCGAAATATTTCCTAACTTTGTCCATACCTCCTCTCAGATTCAGCTTGGTAGCACTCTCTAGCATATAATGTACTGTTTTTTTTAATGAAGACAGTCAACTTCTAGATCCTCGTCTTAATCTTCAAAAGAATGACTACTAGAGTTGTCAGAATGCCCATAATTCGAGTGACTCAGTTTCCGGAAAGTCCAAAGCTGACCACGATCCGGTTTGCATAACGATACTGTGGTACAACCCTAATTTTTCCATGGGAAGAGTGAATTCTGAGCTGTATGAAATGATGGCAAATGAAGTAAACATACATGTCTTATCATCACAACCGTAATGCACCAAGTGCCTTTAGAAAGGCACTTAGGATTTATAAGCTTTGTTTTTTGCTCTCGGGCGGTCACAAATGGAGTTGCCATACCCGGATACAATTTCAGAAGTGTTCACTATTCAGACAAGAATTGTGTATGCAAGAAATCAACTAGAATACAGCACGCTGATGTTGAAAGGGTCCAAGTACTCAAGCTGTTACTAAGGTATAGCGTGGGCGTTATGCGTGATCTTTCACGTGACTGTGATTTATGTATTGGGAGCCATCTCAAGCAACGGTGAAACAGCTGTAGAGCGCTTGGTGGTTTGATTACATGGACTGGTCCAGCTTTACACCCTGTTTTGGTTTACACTGAAAGCTGTTATTCAGGACCAAAAACTTTGCTGCAAACTCCAGGAAGTTTGGCGTCTTATTTTTACCAAAAAACATCCGGAGTTCCAAGAACTCAAACCTTTCCTAAATCTGTCAAACGAGACTCACTAAGCCAGTGGTAAGTTGTCCAGCGGCAAACATTGAATAAAGCACTTGAAGTATTTTAGTTCAGAGTCACGCAGGTTTTGTACTCTTTCGTTTATGACGCCATATACGCCTAAGAGCCAGGACAGCCAGTAGATAAAACGTCACATGAATGTCAACCACTGGTTTGTTATTTAGAAGTATCACAACAATTCATACAATGTAACCAGTTCAATTGAATGTGAGTCAGAAGACTGGTTCACTTTGAAAGCCTTCTTCTGAGTAACTCTATCTAAGGGATGACTTCGTCCCCACCATACGGTCGCCTCATCAGATAGTAGATTTTTGATAATGTCATACGCAAGGTGAGTGTGCTGCTTGAACTAGGTCCTCATCAGCAACATGCATCGACCACCCAGACCCTGTAGTTGTAGGTGGTTGCGAGACTTGTAGCATTCGTATTTATATCACTCCCGTTTGAACAGTTCCTTTCCTGTCCCGTTATTTTGGTACTTCCATACTAAAGTAGAGAAACACTGGACCTAAGTTCCGCTCGATGAGTATCCTTGGCTCTGCTGGGATTGCGGTGGATGCGAGGTTTGTAGACTTCACTTTCACATCA